ATATATATATATATATTTATTTATTTATTTATTTATTTATATACATTGCTATTTGCACTTCAGGTTAGATGCAAACTGCAATTCATTGGCTTTGTACATGTACTCTGCACAATAACAATAAAGTTCAATCTAATCTAATCTAATCATCTAATATTTTCCTGTTTGTCTGAGGCTCTGAATTACAGGTAGTAATGCTGTAAATAATGTTCCGTTTCTTGCACAGACTGACCGTTTCGCTTCACAAGACCTTAATATACTGTATATTGTCAGGAGTCAATTTTTAATTTTGTATTGCCTGTATATGCGTTTTTGTCTCTCAAAGTGCCGGTAGCCTTTGACTTGCATTTTATGAATCGCCAAGGATCATGGTTTCAGCTAAAAATCTTCTTTACTGTTCTACTGAAGAAAAAACGTCTCCTAAATCTTTGATGGCCTGAGAGTAAAAAAAAAAAAAAAACGGCAAATGTCGATTTTTTTTTGTTGAACCATTGCTTTAAGTTTTCTTTCTAAAAAAATAAAAAAAAATAAATGCTGTTGTTTTTGTGTTTGCTGGTTTTGCGCGACTCACCGACGTGATCTTTGCCCATGGCGGCCAGCGTGAGGAAGAGCATCTCTCTGTACAGACTCCTACAGATCCACACAAACACACGTCAGAGTCGCGTTCAGACCGACTCACCTGAACATCACCTGAGCATCACCACGCCTCACCTCTGTATCCGCGGAGTGCCGGGCTGCTTAGCAACTGTATCCAGGAAGAGCGTGATGGCCTTGTGTACCTCGTTCAGACCGATCCAGCGCAGCACTTCCTCCAGGAAGCTGAGGCTGAAGGGATGGTTGTGATGCCTCCAGCTGTGGCTGCGCATGGGGACGCCACCTGGAGGACGGGAGGGGAATCACATCAATCAACAACGGGAATCAGCAGATTATTAAAGTGCCCCTATTATGGATTTTTGAAAATTACCTGTCATGCAGTGTGTAACACAGCTCTAAGTGAATGAAAACATCCTGCAAAGTTTTAAATCTGAATCATTGAAACAAGTCATTTTTAAAACGAATCTCAAGCCGTTTCATGTTACCATCAACATGAAACATTAGCATATTGCCCGCCCACTTGTTGCACGCGCAGACACGGGACAACTTGAACCCCGTGGGATATATATACCGGGTCACATTTACGTCTCTGCGTGTTTGCTGCGGAAAACCATCAGTCGATTTTCGCCTTGATCTGAATGAAAATGCACATTCATTCTTTGCCACTAGGTGTCGCTTTTGGAGCGGTAAAAATAGCGGTTTCCCTGGTAACGCTGTACACAAAGCAGCACTGAGCTCACAAACACTGCTTTATCAGGCATCACAGGTATGATGAAATTAAAATGAGACCAATCGGACCAATCACCGCAGATTAGCGTCACGCAAAGGAGGGGTTTGGAAAAATGTATTGTTGACCGAATCGTTTGGGAGTCGTTGAGCAAATAAGGTAAAAATAAATGCATATTATAAGACAATGAAGGTGTTTTTTGACCTTGCATGCATGTCAACCTGTTGTTGGGGACTCCCAAAACCAAAATATGAACCTTTCATAACCCATAATAGGTTACATATACTCGCCAGTGCTGATTTTTACTTGCATTTGGCACTTGCCGAGTGTTACCCTCATTCATCATGTCTGTTTTGACCCGGAATAGATACATTAAAAAAATTCTAAAAAATTCAGTTTTTAGTAAAGGAACAAATCTTTGCGAATGCTTTAAGAGCCTCAAAATACACATCATTAATTTTTTTTCACAATTTTTTTTTTTAAGACACATAAACATTTAAAAACATGTAACAGGTTTTGTGTTTGGGTTATTTTGACCTGGGTATGTAGGTAATTTTGTAAAATGATCTATGAAATTATATTAGTGTCAAAAAATGAAATATATGCAGCCTTTTCCCCATATCTCACACACTTTTGGACTGAATTGTGTTGATGAACATGAATATGTACATCTATTGAAGAACCCTTGCAGCATGAAAAACAGATTACTTTATATAAGCAAAATGAATTTATTTTTGTTGAAAACATTTCAGAGTACTGTTTATTTTGTTTTGATAGAAATAATTATGTAGGTTTCATAAATCTGGACTGTTTTTGAGCAATCATGAGTTAAAAATTCATTCTCAGATTATAAATTGTTATAAATTGTATACAATGATATATTCAAATAAAATTTCTCAATGATATAAATAGAGAGACACATTACTAGTAACGCAAAGTTACAAAGTTACTAGTAAAGTAACACATTACTTTTAAATTTACTAGAAAATACCTGAGTTACATTTTCAAATAATTAATGCCAGTTACTTTGTTTTCCCGTGTATTGACTGACAGCTCTCCTGTCCTCATGCTGAGAGAAATCGGAAAGGGCCTTTACATTTGCTAAAAATCTAACTTTTTGGGTTTATGTTATTAAAAAATAAATAAGTAAGCCCAGACCAGGTGACAAAAAGTAACACCAAAGTACCGTAATGCATTACCTTCCATAAAAAAAAAACTAGGCCCTGTGTGTGTGTGTGTCTTACTGTGAATCTTCCAGAGCATGTGGAGCGGCGGCCACTGCTCCGTATCCGGGGTCAGTGTGTCCCACAGCAGCCTCACACGCACCGCCGTGCCCTCTGACCCCTGACACACAAACACAGTCAGCTGAGCTCCTCTCTGTGTGTGTGTGTGTGTGTGTGTGTGTGTGGTGTGTGAGTGTGTGAGAGAGAGAGAGTGTGTGTGTGTGTGTGTGTAAGTGTGAGTGTGTGTGAGTGAATGTGTGTGTGTGTGTGTGAGTGAGTGTGTGTGTGTGAGAGAGAGTCTGCGCAAGGCGAGTGAAGTACCACACCAGATTCCAGAAGAGGATGGAGTGACTGTCCAGCAGCTGGACCTGAGAGAGAACAGCCTCACCCTCGTTCTCCAGCAGACTCTCCATCTCCTTGCGCAGCACCAGCGGGCTCAGGTACGCCACCGTCACCTGCGGGGCCCCGCCCACCGACGGCACGCTGCTCTCTGATTGGCTACTGGTCTCAGAGCTGGAGTCCGTCTCTCTGACGCCGTTGCACAGGTGCTGCAGTGTGTCATCCGGAGCGGCGGGAGGACGCATGATATTCTCTAGCTCATCCTCCGCACTCAGGTTACTGCGATCCACGCTGCACAGACACACACACACACACACGCACGCACGCACGCACGCACACAGAGACACACAGAGACAGACACACACACACACACACACACACAGAGACAGAC